AGCCACATTCTGAGCCCCCTTCCATTATTTCAACAGATTTCATTGTTCTATTTTCATAGATATGTATGAAGTACTTTGACCATATCAACCCCCCTTCACCTCTCAGTTTGCTTGTCTCCCTCACCTGTTGTCTCCCACCTATAAACACGACCTGTCATTTATTTTTTAAGGACTAGATTCCACATATGAGAGGAAACATGTGGTTTTTCTCTTACTTGCTCCAGTTATGTCACTTAACATGATGATATATTTTTCTTGCAAATGACAATTTGCAGGATCATTCTTTTTAATGTTGAACAATATTCTATCTATCTATCCATCTGTCTATATCACACTTTCCTTATAAATCATCAGTTGATGGACCTCTAGACTTCTGATTTTGGCTATAGTTCAGGATGCTGTTATAAACACAGTTTTTTTTTATTATATTGTCATACCCTCCTTTGGAAATATGCCCAGTAGCATTCTAGAAGGGTGATACAGGAGTCCTGTTTTTAAGTTTTTTAAGGACTCTCCATACTGATCTCCTAGTGCCTACACTAATTTACATTCCTGCATCAAAACAGTATAGAAGAGTATGTCTTTCTCTCTCCCTCTGTTTTGTTGATGAATTTTTATAGCATACACTAATTTCCAAGAGGGGGTTCATTGTGACATTTCCACAGGTGAATATAATGCATCCCACCAATATCACTCTATCTCCTCCCACTTCGCAAAAACTTTCCTCCAGTTTTCATATAATAATACTAAGGGCTATTGTGCTTTGACCATCCTCTCCAGCATTCACTCTTGCTTTTTACCCTTACACCTCCACTGATTTCCCACACACAAACAGGACCTGTTTTACTTTCATGTCATTTATTTTCTAAGTGCATATCAATTGTACCAAGAGGTTTTACTATGATATTTGCCATATTATAATCAGAGTAATGGTTTTCTGCATCCTTGACAGTATTTATTTTCTTGATGATAATGATTCTGGCTGGGATGAGATGGCATGTCAAGGTTGTTTTGGTCTGCATTTCTTTTATGTCTATGGATGTTGAGCATTACTTCATATGTTAGCCATTTGTCCTTCTTTTGAAATGTCTCATTTGTCTATTTTAATTGGATTATTTATTCTTTTGCTGTTTAATTTTTAGAGCTTTTTATATATTCTAGATAAACACCCTTTATTCTATGAATAACTGGTAAAGGGTTTTTCTCTGTAGGTTTTCTGATTTTTATAATTACCTCCTCTGCTGTGCATAAACTACACTTGATGCAATCCTAGTTTTCAATTCTTATTCTTACTTTCTGAAAAACTTAATTTTATTAAGAGAATATTACCTATTCTTATTATATCTTTCTATATCTTGAAGTATTTTCATGGAACAGTTTCAAATTCTTAGGTCTTCATTAAGATCTGTGACCCATTTGCAATTTGTTTTGTGTATACACAAAAGTTAAGAGGTAGGAACCCACTTTCAGTCTTCTGCATGAGGACATCCAATTTTCCCAGCACTATTTGTTGAAAAGGCTATCTTTCTCCAACATGAACTTTTGGTGCCCTTGTTGAAAATCAGATGACCATAGCTGTCTGATTGGATGGTCTTATTTCTGTGTCATCTCCATATTCCATTAATCTGTATGTTATTGTGTCAGTGTCATGTTGTATTCGTTACTTTGGATCTGTAGCATGGTTTGAAGTTAGGGATTATGATACAGCCAGCACTGAGGTTTTGAGCTCAGGTGACTATAAGAACAATAGCTATTGCTATTAATCAAAACTGGAGGTTAAGAGGAGGAGTTCCTCCCAGTGAACTTCCCAGATGTGTGATACCACAGTGGGTCATTATGTCAAGTGCTAATTGAATAACTTTATTCCCTTCACCCCCACTCTACTCTCCCCCAGGGAACTCCAGTCTGCCTTGAACAGGAAACCAGCCAAGTGACTGCTGTATGATATTGGGCTCCAAGTTACTTCTAGTATGAGGATCATGGAATGCTCAAATGGTGGGATAAGTATAGTCAAAGTGTTCCAGAGAGGGAGAGATTCTTATTCAATAAAGACCAAATGAAAAGTGTTCATTGAGGAGGGACTATTGAATTTCTTTGAAACAACAAAAGGGTGAAGCACTGGGCTTCTATCATGGCCATTCCCATCTTTGCCATATCATATCCCCTCTCCCCCACACTCTGTGCATCTGGCAAGGAAGAGCTCATGGAATTCCAATCAATTCCAATCACAGTTCATGTTGGCTCATCCCTGGAGAGCAGAGACAAGACACTTCACCTAAACACCTTTAGAAATGGTTAGAGATGGCTCTGTTGTTCTCTAATCTGAAGCTTTGCTTTGCTTCTCAAGGCAAAGGCTAAGGAGTTTTGAGTTTCTGCCTATCTGAATACAGCATGTGTGTACATAAGTGTATGTGTTTATGTTTATATGGAACCAACTTCTCTGTGTATAGTGTGTGCATGTGTTACAATGTATGCCCAAGAACCAGGCACAGTTTGCTGTTGATGTCTCACCATAGCAGACCAGAAGAAATTGATCATTTAACTCAGTTATCATACTATTACTGATATCCTGAAGATATTCATTAGGAGGCACATATCACAGCAAATTAGATTGTGCTTAGTTTATAAAAGATTTCATTTTGCTTTTAAATACCATGAAGCCATATTTCTTTCATTCTTTGTTTAATTGCTTATTTATAGCCAAATGTAGAAAATTAGGTAACATGATGGCTTTGAGGGTTAGAATTAGGTTTCTAGTCTGTGTCTATTTATCAGTTCTGTGACTCTGCATGAGCTATATAACTTTCCTAACTAAGGTTTCATGGAAATAGGACCTATTGGACAGTAGGAAAAATGTAATTTTAATACTGTGGAAATGATAGCAAAAGGAAATAATAAATGGTCAACACGAGAAAGAGGATACATTGTTATGATAGAGAGGCTCACTATGACCGGATCTGCTGGTTATGGTTTTAGTTTTAGGTACTAGGCACAATAGTAAAGAAATGCAAAAATAAGAAAGAAGGAAGGAAGGAAGGAAGAAAGAAAGAAAAGAAGGAAGAAAGGAAGCAAGAGGGAGAAAAGAGAGGAAGAAAAGAGGAGGACAGACAGAAGAAAAGAAGAAAGGAAAGAAAGATGATTGTGGAGCTTGCAACCCATTGGATTGACAGACAATAGAGTAAACCTGTAACTTTGCAGAAATTGGTAAATGCAATGAAGAAAAGTTAGAAAGTGTGTGGTGTTGATAAGATGCCTTGTTCCTGTTGTGTATTACCTGGTGAAGGAAAGCTTTAGAAAATAAAGTGTCAGGGCTGGGAAGGTGGCTCAGTGGTAGAGTGCTTGCCTTGCATGCCTGAGGCCCTGGATTCAATTCCTCAGCACCACATAAGCAGAAAAAAAAACCCGGAAGTGGGGCTGTGGCTCAAGTGGTAGAGTGCTAGCCTTGAGCTGAAGAGCTGAGGGACAGCGCCCAGGCCAGGCCCAGAGTTCAGGCCCCACAACCAGACCCCCCAAAAAAGAAAATAAAGTGTCATTTGAACAGAGACTTGAAGGAAGTCATGTGACAAACCATCCAGAGGCACTGGGGAAAAATCCGTCCAACCAGGGAGAGGAGCAAATGCAAAGAGCCTGAGGCAGGAGGGTGCCTGGTATCTTCTGTGACAAGTTAGGTGGGCTTGTTGTTTAAATAGAGAGAAATAGGGGGAAATGGCAGGTCAGATCAGAGAGGATGCAGGGATAGTAATGTCCAAGTAAGAACCTGCTCTAGATAACATGCCAATAGAGGGGTGGGAAAAGAAGAGAATATGGCATGACTTGCACTGGAGAATCTCTTGTCTAGCTGCTGTGGTAAAAATAGCTTATCAGGGGGTAAGGATAGGGAACTGCTGCAAAGATCCAGGCAGGATATGATGGGATTTTGGAACAGTATTCTTGTGATGAAAGTAAGGAAGATTTGAGGATAGATACATTGGGAAGCTATGTACTGATGGAGTGGAGCTAAGAGTCAAGGGAAGGATGACTTCAAGGTCTTTGGGTAGAATAGTAAGACTGAGTTGCTTTAATAGGGGAAAATGCAGAGGAGCGGGACGGAGAGCAGGAATTCCATCCCACACCTGGTGAATTTGACATAAACACTGCCTAAGAATATGAAGACAGAGATTTGATAGGATTTCAGAGGAGGTCAGGAATGGAAGTGTCAAGGCTCTCAGCCGCAGTTACACCCGTCAAGTCACAGAAGTGGGTGAGTCATCCACATTCTGGCTTGTGGATAGAGAAATCAGGTACCAGACCTCTGGGGCATTGGGAAGCTGAATACACAGAGTGGATCCATCCCAAGAAACCTTCAGAATTGGCATCCTGTAACCCACCCCACCGAGAGGCCAGGGAAGCCCAGACAACATCCCCACTCAATTTTTCAAGACACTTTCTCAAAATATGTCATTGATGTTCACTCTCGTATTGATCAATACACCTGATCAATATCAATCAGCACACTTGCACAAGTACTATTGTGCATGAAGGAAACCTTCTGCTAAAGAAATTAATTATTAATAGGCAAAAGGGGCCCAAGGGTACTAGCAGCTTGATAAAGAAGGCTTCTCCTGGAACACTGAAATGCACCTTGTCTTATAGCATGAGGAGCGAGAGGGTTTGTACAGAGCAGTTCTTCCCTGGTAGGAATTTGGGGGAACTTTTCTTCAGGGGTTTCACCTAACATAGCTACTTCTCCTAGGGCAATTCTCTCAGTAAAGTTTCTGGTATTTTCTATTTTCAGAATGACTTCAAAATGCTGCTTTGCTTACTTTGGGTATTTGCACTTTCTTCAAGGCTGATGACTGATCATTGAGCAAGATTTCCTTTTCAGGCATTTCCTTCCCCTCCCCCTCACCCCGTGAACTGCAGGAGTCACATCTCAAACAGTATGACACACACCACATTCACACTTAATTTTCAGAAGATTCATTGCTAAATTATGTTTAAAAAATCACATTCATTCGTCTTCATTTCTTTTCCTCTGCAACTCTTGAAGGTGACCTCTCTCCATCACTTCCTTGAATGTGTTCATTCCTCTGCAGAATCATTTTAATATCCTAAAAGAAAACATTCAAAGAAAGTTACAAAAATGAGAGTGTTTGATTAATGATGAACAATGTTTCTTCCCTGCCTCCCTTTGGAGAAAACGTTTCATTGAGTTTGAATCTCACTCTGAAACGGAGTAGTTACACCTAAGCTAGCTAAGGTTTTTTCTCTCTCTTAATAATAGAGCTGTCAGCTGGGTGCTGGAGACTCATACCTGTAATCCTAGCTACTCAGGAGGGTTGAGATCTGATGATCATGATTTGAAGTCAGTTTGGTAGAAAAATCCCTGTGAGACTTATCTCCGATTAACCATTTAAAAACCAGAAGTGGCTCAAGTGGTAGAGTGCTAGCCTTGAGCACAAAGAGGCTCAGGGACAGTCCTTGAGTTCAAGACCCACAACTGACAAATAATAATAATAATAATGAAGAAGAAGAAGAAGATGATGATGATGATGATAGAGCTGTCATTTCAGCTTCTCTTGCCATAAAACAGTAGAAGGTGTAACATCTAACATCAAAGTGATTTTTAGCTGCCAGGAACTGAGCTAACCATATTATATTTATTAGCCCATTTCATCCATACAAAACTGGTTTACGGATCAGAGAGCTGAGATAATGTGAGGTTACTTGCCCAGGTACACACATCTCAGAGGTGAAGCTTCAGAGCACCATCTCATAAGTTCAAAGCCAGTTCACCTTATATTAGGAACATGTCATCATCATTGCACACAAAGATACATCATTTTCAATGTTTCAGCTCCTATACACACATCTTATAAAAACAGGGCTGTCAGGCAGCAACCTTCACTTTCCACTGTTTATGATAGCAAACAACATTTTAATCTTGAAAAACCACACTCTAGCTTTTGCTCTGCTTATCTTGGAGCAATCTCCAAATAACATCACTGTGGTTTAAGTTTGTTTTTAAAATGTGATCTATTTACTTGTGCATGGATATCTGGAGCAAAAAAAAATGGTAGGTGGGTATGATAGACTCCAAGTTTTCAAGATAGTTTTCCTTCCTTTCCCTTTCCCTTTTCCTCTTTTCACTTTCCCCTTTGCCCTTTCCTTTCCTTTCTTTTCCTTTCCTTGATAATAAAAACAAGCATTGAATATCTTTCTCAAAAAAAGGACATTGTTTCATTTTAAGTGTCAGAATGTAGGCTTTCCAGGTCATGGATACAAGTCTCCTTGATTCACAGTCATCTCAATGAGAACCAACTGTTTGTTTTACTCCAATCAAACCAGCCACAATGAAATGTGAAGGGCAAGAACAAGAATCGAAGAATCTAACTTAGACATATCTTAAAGAAGTATTCTGGCAATGGATTACTTAGCTAGTTCGTTTGCTGATGAGCACATTAGCTTTGTGCTAAGGGAGTTCTTGAGTGAGCGACATTAGGAAACAGGCTAACTGGAGGATTCATCTTGAGAGGGACTGCACAGCAGGGAAAAAGTTAGAGGTAGTTTTGTAGCTCAACATGTAAGATGCTCCTAGAATGTAGTTTGTAGGAGCCCAGAATCTTTGATATTATGCTCCATTTGAGACAGTCCCACACAAAGAGGAACTAGACTGTCCAAAGTAGCTCAGTTGAGGAATCTAGCAGGTTGAGAAAACTACTTCCAAATGAGAGAAACCATTGGAATAGAGTCCTGTGGATGCCAGCTTTCCTGGAGGATTCCCATTAGGATTTGCTGTCGGATCTTATTTCAAGGTCCACTCTCACAGGAAGTCATCTAGGGGCTTTCTTCTTTCAGGTGAAATAGCAAACAGAATCTTCTCTACAAGGGAATCATGTTTAGTCACTCTGGTCAGAGTGATGATATTCCAAATCACTCTGACATTGCAGAAAGTTTTCTTCCCACTCAGGAAGGAAGTATGCTATCATTTTATGCTCCTACTTTTTCTGGGTAAAAAAAATGAATCTTACTATATGTCATTCCCAGAGATTTTGTAAGTGATTTTACTGGTTCAAAATAAGAAGCTTCTTTCCTGACATGTGGATAAAATGTAGTGGAACTCACTTTATAGAAGATGTCATGATGACATGATGTGGTTTGGTGACAGAAATATTTAGGGATCAAGACATCAACCCCCTTCCACTCAGCTCCTTAGAAGCCTATTCATACAGCATTATTTTTCAAATGTAATCCAGATTTTCTTGTAGTTCTTTGCAATCTGGCCTGATTTTTTTTTACTAATTCAGGGGGGTCATACTCTATTCTTGCCAATGGCTCTTCTAGGCATTAGATCTACCCACAGAGTCCCACTGTCATACCATCTTCCAGGCCTGCTTTTCACTGAGGAGGCTGCCATCTTTCCAGCCAGTAACAAAATGTATTCAGACCTCCTTATCTCTCTCTCCACTGTCCATCTTTCCAGAACAGTTTAATTTTACACTGAGCAGATCCCCATGCTTCTAGCACACAAAAGTCACCTTTTGAATGTGTATAATTTTGTACTTAGTTGGTCTATCTTATATCATTCCCTTGTAATTCTTGCAGGTAAGAATTGTCTTCCAAATGGAAGTGAGATTTGTTTAAGAATGACAACTGCATTTGCTATGCAGGGAAGCTTATGCTCCTGGTGTCTGTGATTAGGGCAGTTTCAGTGGCCATCTTTATAGCACTTTTCACGTGACAGCTTCCATGACAGGTACTTTACATGCAGGATCTGTCATAATCTTCAGTCATTCTATTGAATAGGATTGGCTGTGATTTCCCACTTAACAGAGGAGACAGCCAGGATTTGGAGACAGTTGCAATCAGATAGCTGATGGGTAGTGGTCAAAAGGTCCAGATTCACAATTCTCTGATTCTAAACCTGGGTTCTTAAATGCTATAATTATATTTCACTTCTGGATGTGCTGAAGGTCTCAAAAGCAGTTAGCTTTATAAAAATCAATTTCAATTAGTTTGAATATAGGTTATAAAATTGATATCAAAAAGGAGCCTCAATTTAGAACAATTAAACTCAGATACAAAGATAGTTCCATTTCTGGGCAAAACTGTAAAAAAAATTATTGCTAAAAAGTCAGGAAAAATGCTTCTTAGACCCCATGGATTTTAGCAAAGAGAAAGGGCTTTTAATCTCAAACTCAACAAACCCTTTCTAGTTCAATAAATGGGTAGCAGGAACCAGAGAGACGTCATGCTGTTAAACTGGTACAGGGGAATGACAGAACCAATCTCCACTTGCCTCAGCGCATGCTACTGAAAGCTTGAGATTTGTTCCAGTGCCTGTGACCTGGCTGCCTACTGTGTGATCTCTGAGTTGCTGTTCTTTTTTTATTTCTTCCTTATATTTTGTTGAGCCTATCTATTCCCTCTGCTCATTTGTGTGTGTGTGTGTGTGTGTTTTGGTGTGTGTGTCTGTATTGGGGTTTGAACTTATAGTATTATAGTATCATGCTCTTACTTTTTGTTTTTGCTCAAAGCTGGCACTCTACCATTTGTGTCACACCTCTATTTCTGGCTTTTTGGTGGTTAGTTGGAGATTAGAGTTCCACAGGCTTTTCTGCTGGGGCTGCATTGGAGCCATGATGCTCAGATCTCAGTCTCTTGAGTGGCCAGGATTATAGGCATAAGCCACCAGTCCCCGATCTTCCCCAATTTTCTTTAATTTCCTCATTTTACGTATTGCTTTCTTGATGGAACTGAAACCTTATCTTTCTTATGTACTATCAGTTCTACCTATAGACAATATATTCTGTGATTTGAGTTTGACGGACATGTCAATGCTTGGCTGGAGACCTTAAATCTTTGGTTAGTTCTCTTGGACAGGAAGGATCTTATCTGCACTCTTTTCCTATATGCTAGGATCATTATATCACCAGAAATAGTCCATAATTTAATGGTCCACAGACCCAGCTTTAACTATTTGTATCACTAGTCTTCTGCGGTAGCCTCATAATAGTGAGAAAGATTCTTGACACTGAGAACTGCTTCACTACTATGGACCCTGTGCCTTTTTGCACTCCATGGCCAAATTCGTCTTCCCTGAGAGCCACATTAGAAATTCTCAGTGTGCTCTGATCTTGAGCTCCAGATAGTAACAGCTTGCAGTCATACTCACAGGAAATTTGTAGTCTGAATAATTTGCAATCAGGTCTTGAATGAAAGGATGCTTCAAGAGGAGAGAAACTTCAATTGGCTCCAGGTTCCTGGAACCAAGATCCTGAAATGTTTTGTTGAAGCTCTTTAAAGAAGAACAAAAATAAGGGTAATTAATTTAACGTTAGTAATTGTGATAATAGTGTCATATAATTTAATGAAGGTAATTAAGATAATGTTAGCATTCTGGAGATAATAAAATGTTTTCTTATTAAAGAAATCCCCATAATTAATTTTTACACTGTGATATTTTCCCAAGCAAATCCATTTAAATATACCCAAAACTAAGGCCAGCTTTCCCAATGTACACTTGTCTGTTTTACAAATAAGCTAACCAACCTCAGCATAAATGTTCTCTGACTTTAGATGGATGACAAATCTGTTCACATCTTGTGCTTCGTTTCCTCCTTGGAACACCTTGAGTAGTGTCTCTATGGAAATCTTTTCAGTGTTTGTATTTTCAAGGACTTCTTCTTCCTTCTGTTCTCTCTCATCCCTCTCCTCTCTTATTTCCCTCTCCTCTCCTGTGACATTTTCCTCAGGTTCAGGAAATTCTTCAATGGGACTTATATCAGTGGAGAAGGAAGTCTGCAAAGTTAAATGAAGAAAATGCAAAGTCAGACTAAAGTGCTTTCAGCAGTAGAGGCATTTAGAAAGCACTAATTCATGCAATGGAACACTAATGCCTAACACAACCTAAACAAAATGGAGAAGAGAATGTGCTAGCTGCATTGGGATTCGCAACATCAAAATCTTGGACCAACTGTCCTTAGCACTTTAGTCAATGTCAGTGAAGACTTATTCTTTTTTCCAAAAGCCTTTGTACTTACTGCATTGCCAGTGATATCAATTTACTCAAGTAGACACTGAACTAAATTTGTAGAAGTAGTGTCAGGCTTCTACACATGACTATAGGTTTTTGACAGGATGTGAATTTGAATAGACTGGGCTTATGGTAAATTATTATTTCAGATCCACCAGTGATTCCTACTATTACTCTTGGCTAACAGCATGAGCTCAGGCACATTTTGTAGATGGCAGAGAATAAAATGCTGCTGAGATAATTTCTTAGGTTATAAAAGCATAGAAAATATTTGAATTCTTTGACTTAGTATAAATCCAGGAATAAAAATCCAAGAGGATAAATATTTTTGAATTATTTCAGTATAATAGAAAACCTATTATTCTAAAAATGACATATATATGTGTGTGTGTGTGTGTGTGTGTGTGTGTGTGTGTGTGTGTGTGTGTATGTGATGGAATACAATATGGAAATTATAGCTTTGAAAGATATATAGTAATATAAAGAAATATCTTTAGCCCCTTATTGCACTGGTGTTTTGTCTGTGTGTATGTGTGTTTGTGTGTGTGTGTACTGGTTGTGGGACTTGAACTTAAGGCATGGGCATTGTCCCTGAGTTTTTCTGTTTAAGGCTAGTGTTCTACAACTGAAGCCAGAGCTCAACTTCAAGCTGATTGGTGGCTACATGAAGATAAGAATCTCACGGACTTGCCTGTCCAGGCTGGCTTTGAACCATGATCTTCAGATTTCAGCATCCCAAGTAGCTAGGATTACAAGTGTGGGGCACCTGGCACCTACTGCATTGGCCATTTTTGAAACAGTTTTGCTTTCTGCCTGGGTAATCATCTAGACCACAATTTGCCTCTTTATACTTCCCATGAAACTAGGATAATAGGCACTCAATGTCATTTTATTATTGGTGAAGAAGGAGTCTTGCACGCCGGGCTAACCTCCAACCTTGTTCCTCCCTGCCTCAGCTTCCCAACTAGCTCGGATGACACACAGGAGCCACATTAAACACTTTAGAGTGAAAAATATCTGTATCCTCCTTACATCATAGAAAACTAAAACAAAATGTTTTTGATTATTTTGATTTATGGGGCTGGGGGAGAATAGGTTAGTGATTCAGACGGTGGGGAGGAAAAGTGATGAAGCCCAGATCAGACTAAAGGAGGACAGTTCAGCATTCTGGGCGCGTGAGGCTATGTTAGGAAAGGAGATTCTCTCCAACAGACTCTGAAGAGAGAAAATGTGAATGATGCTCTATGAGCAAGATCAGTGATACTAGGTAGAGGAAAAGTCAGGGCTTTTGAAGGAGTAAGTATTAGTGGTATCAGAATTCCAAGGGTCACTTTATTTGTAAACAGGGGACCCGTGGCACTGAGGTAGCTCTCAGAGACAGCCCTTAGGCCTCAAGGATTTCCAACAAGTTCATCTTTGGACTGGTGCCTGAACATCTTCCAGACCACACATTTCTATCCTTCAGTCAACTCAGGACTGTATCTCAGAAGGCAGAAAATAAGGTCAGTTCTGGGAACTAATGTGGGAAAGGCATCAAAAAAAAGAATGGAATTAGAGATTTATGTGCCTTGAGCCCCAGGGCCACCAATACTCCTACCAAAGAGGTTTTTTATTTAATGTAACACTTTTCTATGTAGGAGAGTCAAACTCACAATTTACTACATCCCGGCCTCACAATCCAGTGCTACAAAGGTTGCAGAATGAACAATTTTCCCCGCAAATGTCATTTATTCACCAGGACTAGTACATTACTGACCAGTGCCTTGCTCTTGGGCTTCTTTTAAAATTATTCAAGAAGCTATAGAACTTAACAAAAGGTCTGAGCCATATTGAGTAACACCAGCATGAATGGTAGAGTAAGGAAGAAAGAAATTCCGGGGGAGATTTCCAGTTGTTTACACGGAAAGCAAAAGCAGAGACCTGACTGAATGCCTTGGGAGTGAATATAGATCAGCTGGAAGTGTGATTTCTAAGCAAGCTCTTTATGATGGCCTTCTGAGATGAGGTTGCCCAGGAAACTAGAACACAGTTGGAAATGACTCAGAAATAGAGCAGAATAATTGCCACAAGATGTTAAGGACCAGGGACAAGTGAAAATGAAGGAAGTGGGCAGTTTCTGGATTTCAAAAGCTCTTAAGGATCACTCTAAGCTAGGAACAGGTCCATGAGTTGGAGAAAGGCTCCCCAGTGCCTCAGGGCCCACAGATCTCTGTTGCTTGGTTCCATTTCTGTACTGTGCCTTTGGATTTGAACAGATCTCTCCAGAGCAGCACTCAGGATGTGTTCGCATTAGGGTTCATGGATGGGAGCAACTAAAGCCTCTGGTCCTAGGTAGCTTGATTGCCGCCTGCTGAGGTGACTTTGTTGCTAGGGTAACAACTCAAGCAATGCTCCCTTTCCCCTTCTCTTCCATTTTTTTTAATTATACAGAAAAACAAAAGAGATTTTAATAGTGTATAAAAGCAATAGTGTTCAATTTGTTAGATATGAATCAGATGAACAATTGATACAAGTATGAAGAAAGTATATTGCATAGGTTACTTGGAGTGGGATTTACAGCCTTTTCAAACCAAGGATATATTGATGAAAATTCAAATAATGCCAAATAAATTCAACTATGCCTAATAAACATTAGGTTATGCTGAAACTAGAATTCATATTGAATTGTCTAATGTAGTGCTACCCATGATGCCCATGATCCTAATTAGGTTGGTGGTTGCTGCTGGGATCATGCACATCTTCCTGGAAGATCTGCACTCCTCTTCTCTACCCTGGAGATCAGAGCCCATTCATTGTGCTCTCCCTCTCTCTTATTTTCCCTTGTTCATAACATTGAGTATATGTGCTATGTGAAGCTACTTTGGGTTGCAAGTTGTTCCAGACTCAAGGTAGGACTAATTTAGCAGCAGAATTCAATGGATAAACAAACTGTATTAATGACTAAGTGGGCTTACTTCTCTCCCTTGCTTCCGTCATTGCTCTGTTTGTTCTCAGTGGAGCAGAGAGATCCTGAAGTAGTTTAATTTGGTTTTCCCAAGGATTTTTCATCTTGTTTAGAGCAGCGTTAAGCTAAGATCTCCATGGTGACCCAAGTCCTTTCTCTCTTTTCTTCTGCACTATGATCACTCAAATCCTACTTTTTCTATTTGTGCTGACCAACTCTGTTCCTTGGAACACACAAGGTCCAAACCCATGTTAGGTCTTATACATTCAGTGTTGTCCGGTCTTAAAATGCTTCCTCACGGGGCCATCTCTGACCCTTTTCTCCATGTCTTTATAATTCTCTTTATAGACAGACACTTTAACGAACACAGTAACTCCCCCTCAGCTGCTGCATTTCCTCCTACTCAAACTCCAGTTTTTAAAAATTGTTTGTAAATCATTATTCTGTGCAATCTACATTTTTGTTCAATGATATTCTCCTAGGTCAAGTGTGGTCCCAATACTTAATATGTATTTATTGAAATACTCTATATTTGCATATGATGTTCAACCTAGCAGAGAAGTTCTGAATATAACTCAGGGCCAGATGAGTGTCACCAGGGGAAGAATAATCTGGAATTCATAATGGATACTCATGGCCTTGGAAAATGGGGAGGGATCCACACTTTGAGCTGTGAAAAATCATACTTCGGTGGAGGTAACAGTAAGAATCAAAAGCGGGGGCTGGGAAGGTGGCTCAGTGGTAGAGTACTTGCCTTGCATGCCTGAGGCCCTGGGTTCAATTCCTCAGCTCCACATAAGCAAAAAGAAAAAACCTGGAAGTGGTGCTGTGGCTCAAGTGGTAGAGCACTAGCGTTGAGCTGAAGAGCTGAGGGACAGCACCCAGGTCTAGAGTTCAGGCCCCACAACCAGACCCCCCCAAAAAAAGAATCAAAAGCGGGGGCCAGGGTGAAAGGCCCAAGTGCCTCTTGTGATTGGAAAGGCCCAGTGTGTATCTGCTCTTTATTCTGAGTTCCCTTCCTATTGGGAAAAATTATTCTTTTTGACACAGATGTGACAAATATATAGAGTCCTTTTAGGAAAATCAATTTGTCTTCTGAATGTCTCAAAGATTGAAAGGGTACAGAAAGAGTACAATTTACAAAATGAATGAATGAGCTGGTTGAGCCATGAGCTCACTGAGCATCGTGGCATGCTTTGTCCTAAACTGAACGAGGCCGAGTGAGACGAGAGGCTGCTCCTCGTCAACCTCCTTCCCACAGGATGCCAGTCTAGTGCTGACATTGAAGAAGTCATCAAACCATCCTCCTGCAAGGAAGCTCAGTGGACTTCAGGAACACACAGCTATGATGGAAAGTAGCGGGGGAAAGGAGTCTAATATCATCTGAATTCAGGAAAGTGGGTGGTTCTGTGGACTTTTAAGAGATGAGGCCTACAGAGAAATTCCTAGACCATTAATGGCATTCATTCCAAGGGAATTGTGGAACCCCTGCGTCCTCTCTCAGGCTCAATTCATAGATCCCCATGCATAGTAGGGCACAGGAACATCAAGAAAGAAGCATTGCCATCCCCAGGAATGCAGACCATACCTAACTCCTCACATAGTTGAGGAAAATATAAAGTATTCTATTTCTGTTTAAGAAGACAAACACCATTCTTGCTCAAGGTTAGTATTTTTGCAGCTTTGTGTTGAATCAGCAGCTTATAGCACACTAGATACAAGATCCCTACATTATACTGTAACCATCTACTAGCGTTATTCTAGCCCTTCTTCAAGGGAAAAATGATTGCTGCTATCCATGTGTCAGAGCTAAAGTTTAGGTTCACATCTAAAGAACTCTGTCTTCCCCAGCAAGAATATTGCCCCAGGAGCCTCCCATTTCTTGTAGTATTTCTCTTTCTTGAAAAGGGAAGACTGTAGTTAGGCCAACTATGCAATTTGCACTGACACATAGCCCACTCTGCTCGGACTGCAGGTTTTCCCACCTGAAAAGACATAACTGTCTATCCCTCAGAAATCTCAAAGGAGGTGGTATGGTGGCATTTTAGTTAGCTACTAAGCTTCTTTGTCCTTGGGGGCAGGTGAGCCAAAGTATCTTCAGCTTTTAGGTAGTGGAGTGTGGCCTGAAATACTGTCAAAAATCACATTGATCAAGATGTATTGTATTCATAAAATACTTTGTTAAATGGTAACTTCTATGTACAACTACTTAAAGATAATGAAATATCTTTTAAAATTATAAAAAGAACCACCTATATAGATGCAGCTGAAAGTATAAGCTTGTTTCAAATACAGTTTCTACAAAGTAACACACAAAGTGGTCAATACCCATTTCCTTTTCATTTCTCAGATTCAGTACCTCAGGCAAAAAGAAATCCTGTCATTTCTAGAGCAAATTTTGATTCTACCAAGAAATGGAGTAGAATTTTCCTACCAAAGCAAAGCATGTGATTGAATTTGTCCTCCTCCCCCCAGTTCTTAGTGTTATTGGGAAAGTCTTCGTTGAAGATCCAGTATGTATAAAGTATTATATTGGGCACCTCGGAGATGAAACAACAAAAAAAGAAACAACTCATACTGAGTGTTGGGAATTTAGCATCTTCCTTCCTCCTGTTCCTTAGCTCCGAATCTGTGCATTTCTGGAGTGTCATTACCTTTTCTGCAGTCAGCATAGGAGTTTCAACTTGTCGGAAGACATGGGTCCCCACGGCCACACTGAGAGCCCTGTAGATACCTTCCACGGGGTCCGGGTGGCATGCGAAATACAACAGCATCTGAGTGTAGTCAAGCTGGGGTGGGTCCTTCTCATAGTCAGCAAACAGTCGGAAGAAGAACTATTACCCAAAAAAGAATTCCAACCAAAGATAAAAGAAATTCACTCTACTAGCAGAGAGGCTTTGGAATAGAGTCCCATCTGAGGGCAACATTAACAAAGTCATTATGTAGTGAGTGGTATTAATTGAAGCATCTGCTAAATAAAAGCACAGGTAAAGTTGAGCTCTAAATTCTAAATTTCAGTGAAGATGGGTGAAGTGAGGATGAGTTAAGTGAATTTGAGATGTCTGTTAGCCTATTCAAATAGGTAACAGGTATTTGGAAGAGAGATTTGTGACAAGAATAGACACATGGGATTCATTAGTTTGTATTTCAAGCCCAGTACCTGGGCTTAACCATATTGAGGGAATGAAAAGATTTCACGTAAACAGACACTATGGAAATGAGGACAAGATAGTACTCATGGATTTCAGAATGACAATTAAAGCAATTTGTAAAAGAAAATCCCTGAGGATTTATTAAACCCAAGGATAACTACCTTTGATGCTATTGATGTGAACAACTGGAAGCCAGGAATAGAACTGGCTAAGCCTCACTGGTCACAATGAAGTGCACTGTACTGCCAGTAGACAGTGTGACAGCAGTGTGACTTCTACCCAGTACTTGAATTTCCAGGGTCAACCAAGCCACAGTCAGTGATAATGGCCTGTCTGTAGGAGCCGTGCAAGAGGTGGCACGTAGGCACAGTTGGCAAAGCAGGGTACAGGGCACGGAGAGCAAAGCAGGGTAGCTGAACATGGCTCTAAAGTGTAGCCCGTACCCTTTCATTCATTAAGGGGCTACAGACAGGCTGGGGGAGGAAGAGATGTATTACAAGTTCCTATGGCTGAAATAGAGCAGAGTTCAGGGCTCCCAAGCTGTTCTCTCTTAGCTGACTTCTACTTTTAATTACTGACAAATAAGTAAATAGTTTTTGTTGTTCTATGTTTTCTCTTTTATACCTTTTATCTATTTATTAGGAGACAGTGGAAATCTTGATTTTTAAACATGACTACATTTCAGGCTCATCTCTGGCAGTGGCTTTTTCTAGTGGGTCATTGTATTTATGTTTTAATATATGAACCATAAACTGCCTTCTGGTACTGTGTACTTACTGTGGCTAGCTTCTATTTGGCTAGTACTTATTACTGTGGTTTGGATGAGTATCCCCAAAGGGGGAATGTTAGGGGATGGGGTGTAACACTTAGCAGTCCTGTGGACTTTCAAGAGTTGAGGCATAAAAAGAAAGAAGTCCTTAGATCACTGGAACATGCTCTCCAAGGGAATGGTGGAACCTCTGTGTCTTCTGTTTCTTTCCTTTCTTTCTTTCTCACTATCTGTCTGTCTGTCTGTCTCTATCTTTTCCTGCCTTGAGATATGACCACTCACTCTCTGACACATTTGCACTGTGATGTGTTGCTGATGCCCAACCTCATGGGACTGTGCAAGCACAAGCTAAGAAAGGCGTTTCTAAACTTCATGTGTAGTCTGTATCAGGTATTTCACTATGGTGATAGAAAGCTAACATGTTTATGTAGGACTTACTATGCATCAATTACTGTTCTAGGGGTGCCAAACATATCAACCCACTATGCATAGTAATCACAGAAGGAAAACAAAACTCAAATCAGGCATATAGAGACTGAGTAATGCCATGATGACCACATAGCCTGGAAACAGTGGATTTTGTGCTTTTATTCCATTTTTAGAGTTTTCTGAATCTCTGTGAATCTAGTACTGGGCACTGGGAAGAGGCATACCTCCTCATCTTCCTCATCATGTGTGCGCTCACCTATCTTTAGCTCCATATAAACACATACCCCCAGGCTCCAGGGTTTTGTCTCTGCCTCTGATCTTTCCTTTTTCTCCATTTAATTTTCCAGCATCAGGTGTGCATCAAAAGATCCTTGCCTGTTAAATGGCTCAGTGAACACCAGTAAGACTCTGCCTTCAGTTGAAAGGTCTGTAACCTTTTGGCTTAATAGGAGAGTAACTTTACTGGAATGATATTCAAGCTGTCAGGTTCTTTTCAAGCATTGAAGAACATGTTTATGTTATTGGCAAAAATCATTCAGAGACTATCTTCCAAAAGCCTTATCGGAGAAGTGATGTTGGTCTTCCAGTTTCATATTTAAAATAGCAACAAGCAATATACCTGTACCTACCAACTTCATCTCTTGGAAATTTTCAGCAATTTTGTAGCCTCTTAAATTCACCGCCACTCCTGCTAGCATCTAGAAGTGCTAAAAAATTACCAGTCCAGTTGAAGGGAATTGCTCATTTTAAGCTTATATCTGGAGTTATGTTCAATTTTTGCTCTGCAATTTTGACCTAATGGTTGGCTAGAAATCGAACAGTTGAGATATATGATATATGATATATATATATATATATATATATATATATATATATGAGATTTCATTACTGTCTGAATTTACCAATCAGCTTTTCTCATAGCTTGACAAAGTGGCTTTGGTTTTTGTTCTGTTTTAAGCATATATAAAGAAGTCAGAGTGGCATTTTAATATTCTAGAGTCCTACTTTCTGTTATGGCCTTGGGAATAAAGTTAATAATAAAGCTATTATTGCAAGTGTTATAGACAGCAACAGCTTTGAGGCAAAATAGTAGATGCAAATCTTCAGTGTCTGACAAAAATTGAAGGAAAATTGGACCTAAGAAATACACTGACACTAGTTAAATGACAGAAACATACCGTAAGCTTTTAAAATTGAAAGTTCATTTAGAGACAAAGCTGCCACATAACAGCTTAGCTTATTGGAAAAGTGAAATGTGGAGAGACCAGTAAAATGACAAGATTGTATGGCTAATAATAAGAGTTTGCCTAAAATTTTGGTCCCATATGTCCTTCCCTAGAACTTCTCTATGCCTCGTCAGTGAGTAATAATAAAGTGTAAGCTCTGGGTAAGACAGCAAAGGAACAAAAGGATAAGAGTGGAGTTTAAGGCAAATATTCCAAGTTTAACAGCCTAAAAGATGATGATCAGAGTTCAATGTACTTACCTCTCTGAGATGTTCTTGTCTATTAAATGGCAGGGGTTCAAGAGGATTTTCTGGAATCTTCACATCTTCATCTCCTGTAAACCACAGTCCAGCCTACATATACACACAAAAAGGAAAATCATTCAGGTTATTATGCTGTGTGGTAACAGTTCTTGTCAAGGCCAGAAACAGAGCCAATCTTATTCCAGTCTCTAGAGAAATGGTCTCCTATGTAGGCACAGATCCTATGAGCATACAGGATAAAGTTCCAGGAATTGTATTTATGGAGTTTCTTTGAAATCCATTCTTCCATTTTAACTTTTATACATCTGATGAGGTATGTGAGGTATTAATACTCTAGTATCTGCATACAAACAAAACCACCTATGATAGGAATACTAGCTATATTTTAGCTGTTGGGACATGTGATTAAGCTTGGAAGTCTTAAACTTGACTAACCAAACGCTGGATACATTTTGGAGGAAATCTGTGCTCCTGTAACAATAGTTCATACCCCACATGTCCTGTCTATTCTTGGAGCCTCATGTGGAATTAGTGTGTACTATTTCTGTTAGAAAATCTTGATTGAGTTGCTGGATGACTCAAGATCTCATTGGCCTCATGTTTAATGTGATTCCTTCCTCTTTCAGTCAATATCCAACATGAATCACCAAGTCCTCTTGATTTCCCCTATAGCAGCCCTATCATCTTCACCCTTTCTTTCCTTCCCAATGGCTCTGGGCCATCTATTAACCTCAAACTGTGTTTCTATAGTCTTTTCCTTACCTGTTTCAGCTTTTCCTTATACAATGTTCATCTATTCTCTATTCAGAACCATTTTCTACCGTCATCATTTTATGTTATCCTTTATATCCTCAGTGACTCTATTCTACCCAGAGAAGCCTACACATCTTTCAAGATCCAGCTTAAATCACTTCTCCTCAGAGAAGTCATCTTTGATGTCTCCTCTGAATTGCAATTAGACGGTTAGAAACACACATTTGGCACTTAGATTATTCCTTTTGGAATTATCACTTATGCCTGCTGCTGGATATCAAGTAAAATAGTTGATTTGTAAGAACATATTTTATGAAGTTTAATTTGCATGCCTGGTAAGCACTTAATATACAGAATTATTTGGCTGCTCATCATGTTCCAGAGTGACACCCTATCCTCAGCATCGCATTCTTCCAAGAGCTACTGGATTTTCTAGCTTAACTCAGGCCCATGCTCTGTGTTTTTCTTCTTTCTTTCCTTCCTTTCTTTCTTTTCACCTTCTTTCCTTCCAAAAAATAAAGAGAGCTTTAGATGATAGATATGACTATACAATATGACCTGTAAAAGAATGGACTGTTTTTAGTATAAGGAGATGCAGTTTTTATGGAAGCTTGTGAGAAACAAGAATTTTAATGTCCAGCATAAGCTCAAGCTTTGAAAATAAGAATTTTTTTTCTACTGAGTGGAAGTAAATCCTTGCCCAGTGGCTTATCTGAGACTAGAGAGATGAAGCACTTTGGTAAGCACTTTGCTTCTAGACTTGATTAATACAGGGCAGCTTATCTTCAATCCTTAAATAACATGAAAGAGAATTTTCTAGGCATGGAACAATAAATAATACAAGACAGTTATTCCTGAAAATAAGCAGGAAAATGAGAAATCCTACCTGTGCTCCCACCTGTGGTGCCAGAAGGAACACATAAGGCTTGGCAGTCTTGCTGAGTTCAGAAGATAGATTTCAGGGGTGAAGGAGGCCAAGGTGGCTAGAATTCACTGGAAAGAATATTAGAGCAGTGTACACACAGAGAAATGTACCCAAGATTTCCCTCAGGTCTTGACCTGTGTAGTATGGGTAGAGAATACCAGAGGTTGGAGAAAGGAGCTCTGGAAAATAGTAAGCTCAACAATTGGAGAGACTCCCAAGTGTTGGGATTAGTTCATGTTATTATCGTTTGTTGATGGAAGGCCCTCAATGCACAGGAATTTGAGTACAACCTTTACAGTAGAATAAGATTAACACTATAAAGAGTGCTCTGGAATCACTTTCATAATTCTTGAAGTAAATTTGAAAGAATAAAACTGATTCTAAGAAACATCACATATCTGACAACACCTAAGCTAAATAATAAAGTTGGGTATCCAACAAAAGAATGTTCAAAATTCTAGTATGAATTACTAGACATTGAAAAAAACACTAATAAACAGAAAATATGACCCATATGCAGAAAAAAATCAACACTGAAATGAGGCAAATAGTGGAATGAACGGATAAGGATGTTAAAACAGATATTCTCCATATACACCAGCTGTTTAAAAGAGCAATTCTGAGACTATTGAAGGAGATTAAGAAAACCGTGGACATACCGAGGAAATATAATCAAAAGGTCCCAACTCAAATGTGTAGAATTGTGTAAACTATACAGTCTAAGATGAAACTCACTGGATGTTGTTAATAGTAGACAGGTCTGAAAAGAAAAATACAGATAAACTTGAAGACTTAGTTATAGAAATGAATACAACATGAATATATTGGAAAAACATCAGGCATCAGTGAGTGATGTGTAGGACAACTTGTCTAATAATAGAACTTTTCCAATAAGCCAATTTGTCTAATCAACACAAAATGGGTTTGAGGCACAGAGGTACAAAACTGTATTTGAAAAATAATCTCTGAAATTTCCAGATTTGACAAAAACTGCCAAATAGACTCAACAAACTGTAAGCAGACAAAACATAAAGAAAACCTCACTAAGGAACACTCTAATCAAATTGCCAGAAGCAATCATGAGAAATGTGAAAAGTTAAAAGAAATTAGATTTGGAAAAAGAAACAAAGATAATATCCTTACACTTTCTTCCATTTTCAGCCATCATTTTCATATCCAAGTATTTTATTTTATTTTATTGTCAAGGTGATGTACAGAGGGGTCACAGTTAAGTAAACATAAGTAAGGTAGTCATTACATTTCTTGTCTAACTTGTTATCCTTTTCCTCATTTTTCTCCCTCTTTCTCCCCCTAATTAGTTTAATGTACTGGAATTTCCTCTGATTTTTAAACTAAGAATTCATTTGTACAGTTTTCTAAAAATACACGATATTTCATAAATTAGATGAACACTTCACAGTGTTTCTCATACAAAAGGACCATATTAGATAAATATCTGTTTTCTAACAGATCATCTACAAAAATTTTAGCAACCTGTAAAGTTAGTAGTAGTATGTACTAATGGGTTTAAATTATATACTACCGGGGCTGGGAAGGTGGCTCAGTGGTAGAGCATTTGCCTTGCATGCATGAGGCCCTGGGTTCGATTCCTCAGCACCACATAAGCAAAAAGAAAAAAGCCAGAAGTGGCACTGTGGCTCAAGTGGTAGAGCGCTAGCCTTGAGCTGAAGAGCTGAGGGACAGCGCCCAGGCCCAGAGTTCAGGCCCCATGACCAGACCCCCCCAAAATTACATACTACCTTATTGAATTATTAAATGATTTCTCTTTGAAATATGAAGATATTCTTTGTACTCTCTTGCTAAAACATTACCAACAATTTTAGGGTGTTTAATTTTCCTTAGAGATGAATTGCTATACTCTTTGAAAAATAGAACATCTGACTCACTGAGACTATAGTAACATTCATTCTGTTAGAAAATGAGTCATTACTTGGAAAAATGATGTTAAGTGAAATAAGTCAGGCCCAAAGAGACAAAGGATCTGTGTTTTCCCTTATAAATAGAAGCTAGATTTAGCTTGCAAATTCCTAAGTACACAGGCTGGGTGGTATGCAAGTATATACAGATGTAGTAACTGAAATATGGTAGACTCAAGGAAGATCTCAAATAGTCTAAGTCCATAGAAAGCCCAAACCAAAGTTCAGCAGAATAAAACACCAAGAAACAGCACTAAAAAGGGTGTGGAGTGAGGTCAAGAGGGAAAGGTAGAAGAATGAAGAGGAGACGAAGGAGGAAATGCAGACAAGAATCCAATATATATCCTACAAAACTAAGAAGAGTGAGAGAAGGGGTAGATAGGAGATGGATGGGTGAGACTGTTGAGGGGCGACATGGATCAAGGTGTCTTTATAAACTGCTTTCTTAAATTGCAACTTCTTTGGGTAAGTACTTTAAGATAGTAATGAAATGTATTCGAATAGAAAAAGGAAAATGAGCCAAATATTTCAAAATCAAACAATTCTAAATGTGTATGACTTACTCAATTTAGGAAAGAAGCTTCAAGACCTAGAACAAGGGACAAACAGACTCCGATACTCATTGCTTAGTCAAGGTAGACCTGAATAACTTCATATGCTGAATGCCTGTCCATTTTTAGAATTTGGAGAAATTAGCTTACTTCTAAGTAGCTGTACAATCGGTAAATAGAAAACATAAAGGCAAAATGGAAAGTATAGTAGATAGCTCTTTTCTTCAGAAGACTTCATTTCACCAATGCAGCTACATTAACTAGTGTAACTACTGTTCTTATATGGAATTTTCAATAGATCTTATGAAAATTTTCCCTCAAAGCTATTAGGAACTTTCATTTTCATGAAGTGTTTTGTATGTGTGAGCTAATTAAGAGTTGGGAATCTAAAGAGAGCATGGAGAAAGTTCTGCACACATCTCCAAATGGTATTAGCACCCTGGGACTTCCAAGGAATAGACACTTTTAAAAATAGTCTGTTGCCCCCAAAACACAGTGTTCAAGCAGACATTTCTGAGTTTCTAGTAAATGCAGCATCTAACTGTCTCTAAAGGAGCTTTCTGCTTTGAGCTAGGCACTTCTAGGTTCTTTACATGCTGTATAAAAGATGTTCCATTTGATATTTTGTGTTGATATCTCATATCTATTTTGTTTACTGTAAACAATGAAGGTTTTCATGAATGTCCACTTTGAAAAATCTTAAGTCACTGGAGAAACAGTTTAAATTTTATTCTGCTAATTTTCATCTTCCAACAAACAAATCCTAACAAAATTTTAAGTCCAGGACAGTTACTCTGCTTGTGAAATAAAATATTTTAGAGCCCAGTTAGACAGATGTGTGTCTTGATTAGCCATGAAGAACCTTTTCAGAATTCATGCATTATTTTCGTTGGCTCTAGTTTGGTAGCATGGGAACCGTGGAGCTTTCTAAACAATTCCATCTGTCAACCAGGAAGTAAAGAGAGGCAGGAAGGCATCTGAAGTTTCAGTAGTGAGAGACATGTAGGATCCTGGCACTAGAAGCTAATATTTTGCTTCCAAGTTGATGCCTTATGAATACTCGCCTCTTTTGCTGTCAATCAGTCATGTAAATGGTGTATAAAAGACAAATTCAATTAGAAATACAAAATTAACAAGCAAGGCTGCTAATAGACATGGAAATTTATTCTTACTATTTATTATTCAAACGTTTAAAAAATTCCATATCTGTCATAGTAACTAAAATGTCTGCTATCTATTTATGTCTGTCTGCTATCTATCTATCTATCTATCTATCTATCTATCTATCTATCTATCTATCTATCTATCTATCTATCTGTTGTCTGTCTGTCTGTATCATCTGTCATCTGTCCATCTATCCATTCATATATCAATTATCCTAATGACCTATTCCTTATCTCAACCATTTTCAATCTGGTTTCTGTACTCCATTTTCTACCACAATTATTCTAGCAGAAGTCCTTTTTCCCCTGACAAGTCCAATGCTCACATTACTAAGCTACTGGATCATCCATCGCATTCCTTGGGTTATCTCAATTTATAACTTCAACAACCACCTCCATGAGAGTGTCTCACAATCCCTCTCCATCTGTCCTATCAGACTGGACATTTCAAATGAAGTTTGTCAGAAGGAATTACAGTATCTACTAATCATCTCATCCCTAAGTGTAGGAAAAAATACCTCCTTTCCCTGTGTTCTTTACTATTGGACAAGTGGCCATTTAACAGTGGTATCATCTCTGAAAAGGATTTTAATGGACAGGGAAAAGCTCTCATCCCCGTCTCCCCTCCCATGCTTTTCCCCCCGGGAGCCAAACTCTTAGCTGGGCCTGGGACTTTGTATTGCATCATCTTGGCTGCTGAGAAGGAAAACCATGGTCCTCTCCTGAAGCCTGTGATGTGACATCTGTGGGTAAAACTCTTCCTAACTCAAAAGGATGTCAGGGCATCACTGGTCCACTAGGTCTGGTATCAACCTGTATGTACTGCTCAAAAGTGATGGTGCCCAACTGCGCCTTATCTGCAGCCTTGAATCTCTGCAGGGTCTCGAGGAGTTCCTGTTCCAGTGGGATGGGCCAGGGCATCGCTGCCACTAACAGGAATTTCCGCCAGTCCACGAACTCAAAGTTGACTGTCAATAAAGACGTTAATTCCTGCAACTAGAAGAAGAAGAAGAAAGTCACTGGAATATTCGTATGATTACCTTGAAGCCACGCCCACTCAGGTTCTGAAAGTGAGGGTCAGATGAAAGAAGTAGGACTTTATAGTGCCAAAAGTGCAGCCAGTTACTACGGCTTTGTTCAGTTTTTGCTCCCTTTTCTGGCTACTGATTCATAACAACTAGAAAGTGTTTTATTTTTCATTCCTCGACATTCATGGGATTTGCTTATTGCTATATGACCAATATACACTTGTATCTTTGTATCTCTTCGACAGAGGCTCTTGGGATTGAACTCACCTCTGAGTCCTTTTGCTTTCATTTGTTTCTCAGATTGATTCTCTTGTTAACTTTGCCTGGACTTGCCTCTGATCATAGTTTGAGTCTTACCCTTACTACTCATGTTGCTTTCTATGGTTCTACAGGCATACACCAGCCCTGGGAAGAGCTCTTTAACCATTTGGTTTCTGAGATTTTCTTTTTTGGGGGTGGGGAGGCTGAATCTGTATTTCACCTTCTCCCTCTGCTCATGGCTTTATTTGAGCCATACCTCTACGTCCAGCTTTTTGCTAATATATTGGAGATAAGAGTCTCATGGCTTTGTTTGCTGGCTTTGAACTGCAATCCTCAGATTTCAGCCTCCTGAGTAGCCAGGATTACAAGATTAAGTCACCAGCACCTGTCTTCTGAGGTCATGATGAAAAACAAGGACTCTCAGAATCATAGATTATTACTAGTTAGGATATTTTTATCAGACAGTAATAAATACAAAGTCACTGATTGTACCTCAGAGCCGCTGTTTTTTTTTAACTGACTATCAGCACTTCTCAAATGTTGAACATGTGTATATCATGTCTTAATTTCAAGGTCAGTCATTTATTCAAATTTTATTAAATTTCTTTTTTTTAATATATATATATATATTATTGTGAAAATACTGTACAGAGGGGTTACAATTACATGGGCAAGATAATGAGTACATTTCTTATCAAGCATCGTAGCCTCCTCCTTTGTTTCCCCTTCCCATCCCTTCCCATCT